ACTTCAAGTGATTTTTGAGAGTTGCCAGGGTCAGATACTTATCTGTAATAAAATATTATTGGTCCATGGATTTTTATCCTGTTATAATAATTTAGTAACTGGTGACCTGGATTTGCTTGTGCAAAGCATATGGCTCTCCTTTAAGCAAGCAAGTGCTCTCGGCATAGGTTCCGTTAGTCTAGTAACAGAACGTAATGCAAAGTTAGCTTAATCAGAAATATAGAAGTATCTCTATTAGAAATACAGAAGTGTCTCAAGAAGCACCAATGAAGCGTTCCTTAGAGCTGACAAAGCAGGATAATAAATTATCTTTCCAGGCATAAATACTTGCATGTTTCATGGTAAAAAGTTTAGGCCTTCTTATTTCCAGGGCTTAAAGGCATTTGTAGCAGCTGAATAGTGCAAGATAGTCGTATTGCTGGTGAGTCAGTGACAGCTTATTTCTGCGCATGGAAATGGAATATTGTATAGGGAAGGAATTTCCTGCCCTGACACTATCTAGTTAAATGGTTAGGTTCTTTCATTTTCACTTAGGCTGTGTGGATGTGCAACCATTAGTTTTTATTCATGAGCTGTTGAGTTTGCTGATACAAAAGGCACCTATACATTTTGCACAATTCATGTTTTGTGGGGGCTCTTGAAAATGTGGCCCTCTGTGGAAAGATCTGCATCATAAAGCTGTTACTAATATAGGGACTGGAAAATTTTTAAAAATCTGTTTCTGTCTTTCGTTCTGTAGTTTTGTAGACACAGTTAGAGACCCTGAGAAAGGAATTGAAGGGAAATGAAACAGAATACACTGTTGCTTGGAAGAACTTAGTTCAAGTGAAATATTTTTTTTCCGGTACAAAATCAGATCTTTGCCTTGCAGAGTCACATGAAGACTTGTTCTCAGCCACTGCATGAAGACACGTTTGGTGGACATCTGAAAGTTGGTTTAGCTCAGATTGCTGCTATGGAAATCACACGGGGAAACCACAGAGACAACAAAGCTGTGATCCGGTATTTGCCTTGGCTTTACCATCCTCCTTCTGCAATGCAACAAGGGTGAGAATGCTTTTCCACAAAAAGGAATACTAAAATGAGTTAGAAGTCTTCACAAAATTCTGTGTTTATTGCCAGATCCTATAGATAAGACCTCCATTAGGGAATGGTGGCAGTGGGACTTTGAAACAGCTGGTCAGCAGCTCCCTGATCTTGAACTGGGGAGTTCATCAAGGCAATGTTTAAAGTACATACCAAAGGGACAGTGGAGGTAACTCCATTGGCTTGACTGGAGTTACCCAGGAAATAACTTGATTCTTGATTTAGATACAGACAATGAAAAGCACACAGGTACTTGATCAGTCCTAGAATTATAGAAGATATGTTGGGAATTACAGAGAATACAATGGGAAATGTCTTTTGAAATTATTCAGTACAAATGAGCGAGAACTACAAAAGTAAGCCTATTGGTATGATAAAAATACTAGCTTGGGCTGGTTTAAATTAAACAGGAGAAATCCTGCTGTTCAAGACATGTTTTTTATCCCTTTTCACTGTGAAAAATCCTAATCTGCAGTGTTTTATCTTCAAAAAGAGAGATACTGTCCATTGTTATACAGTGACAACAAACAAGATGTTTTGAGTGTAGACCATTCGACTGTGTTTCAACAAATGTGTATTCTTGTCCCAGCTTTGTCCCAGACTACCTGCCCCAGCATTATGGGGACTAGGGTGCTTAGACTTCAGGCCTGTAGATACATCTGCACGTACTTTCGTATAGAGAATATCTGGTTTTGTAAATACGGAGTTGTTATCTCTGTGCGCTTTAGTTCTTACATGTAAAAAAAGGACTATGTGTTCTGAATTGAAGGTGGTGAATTCCCTTTAAGACCCTAAAGGTACTTGAGGAAAAGCCATCGTATCATAGTCTATTAAAAAAAAAATAAATTACTGGAATGCTTTTTCGGTGCTATGAGTCCTTGCCAATGGCATCAAATTAGGAATTAAAAATGGTAGTGAAAGTGGCCTAGTAAGCGGTGATTTACTGATTGAAAAACAATTTTTTTCCTGTGCCTATGAATTCAAATCAGTATGTAATCTGAACTTGGTAGCAGCAAGGGGACAGACAAGATTACACCAGAAAAGTGTTACTCCTTTTTAGATTGTATAAGCACATTTCTTTACAATTAGATAGTGGATGAATACTTAAGCATCACAAAAAAGCATAGTCCCTGCCCTCAAAAGTATGCTGTCTGAATGTGCAAAGAGAGGCTAAGGAAAAGAGAAATTAACTCCACTTTACCACTGGAGAAGTGAAACACAGTGTAAGTAAGGCATGGCACCTGCCTCGGAGCTCGCTGTGGAATGAAGAATGTCTTGCCATCGCCATGTGAGCTGTGTGCTGTCTAGGGGAGCTGAGAGGAGCTTTTCCACTTGAGCAACCCTTCCTGTCTAGTGATTTCTGTGTAAAAAAAAAAAAAAAAAAAAAATAAAAAAAATCACTGTATGGAACCAGTGAATCTGTGAATGTTTTAGCCTTCTATAGAGACTATTTCTTAGACCCACGAAATATGTTCTGTTGGACTTGTTAATGGTATGTCAAGTCCGCTAAGTTCTGTGTAGTTCTGCTGTTCCCATAAGCTGTACCAATGATCCGTGCCTCCAGCACACTGAGACTGTATCTGCCTTGTGTGCATAAGGAGACTGCATATTTGGGGGAAAACAAGAAAACTTAACATCGTTGTAAAATCTGCTCTTTCTTGACAGGCCCAAAGAGTTCATAGAATGTGTCTCACACATTCGTTTGCTGTCCTGGCTACTTCTGGGGTCTCTGACACACAATGTTGTCTGTCCAAATTCTCCATCATCTTGCATGCCTATTCCACTGGATGCGGGTTCACAAATTGCTGACCACCTTATTGTTATTCTGATTGGGTTTCCAGAGCAATCAAAGGTAAGGGATTCCATGTTTTAAGTGAAGGTGTTCTATATTGGTGGTGTTATTCCCTGAGGTATTCAAAACCTGCCTGGACGTGATCCTGTGCAACCTACTGTAGGTGAAGCTGCTTTAGCAGAGGGGTTGGATTAGATGATCTCCAGAGGTCCCTTCCAAGTGCTACCATTCTGTGATTCTGTGATTATTGCAAACACTTATTTCTTCCTAAGTAAAAAGGAGAGGTAAAACCCTATTAAAACCTGGGAGCTAGG